CACCTGTTGCCTGAAAAGCATAGACAAATTAAGTGATTAATTGCAGGACTCATGTGGCATATTCAAGTCAAACCAAAAAATCTCTAGAACAACAGTAAGAGTTTTGTATTACATCTCTGAAAAAAACATAAACTGTTGTACTTCATGCTTTATATCCTTCACTGCCATTGCCTGCCATTGCCCATCATTGCACCATAAAAAAAAATCCTGTACTCTGCCGTATAGAAGGCCATGAGGGGGCAGATTTTATGCTGAGAGGCACTTCATGTGTGCGCTGTTCACTGTTGCTCTCAGACCAGAATGGGAATTGTTGGAGCAAATACCTTTTAAACAAATGCAGCATGTCTGCAGTAGTAATTTTGTGCTTGGATTTGCTATATTTTTTTGTGTTTATATCAGAATGGTTGAGATGATCAAAGAAAAATGTGTTCCTGTAATGTGTTTGGTGGTGGTGGTCATTTGCTTAGCTTGGTAGAACAAATAGAAGAAAAACTCATAACTTAATTAAGCTAAGTTACTTTTGTAGTTCAGGTTTTAGCCTTAGATTGAGAAATACGAAGACATTTTGGCATATGCCAGAGCATGTATGCTCCATGTATGGAGCACTGGCATATATGGAGCTTATATGCTCCCATGGGATGCTACTGTGGTGTACAGGAATTTTATTCAGACTGAAACTGTTGATCCTATTTGGACAGTCCACACAGATCTTTCTAAAAATAGGTTTGAATTATTTTGATGTTTTTTATCCATATTTGAAAATAACATATGTTTTGAGTACTTTCTCAGGTTCTGATAGCCTTTATGTGTATAGCTATCTGAAAGCCGTCTGAATGAAAACAAAAACTATTACTTTAATGCTAGTACCCATTTTTTATTTTTTTTTTTCTGTCTTTGATTATTTTCTTAATGTTTACCTCCCTTCTGTGGCTGAATTTTATCATCACCGGATTTCCATTCAGTATATCCATTATCCCACTGTCCTTCTGCCTTATATATGAATTCCCTGTAGAAGTGGACCTACAGTTGTCTGACTTGCTTAAGAGCAAAACCTCTCTTGAGACTGTTAGAAGCTGAGCATGCTCTGGTAGTATCTCTGCACTAGCAGGTTGTACTCATTGTGGTGGGTTTCTGTGCTGTTGTTGTGAGTGGTTTCTGCATCAGAGTTTTCAGGGCAGGGTGAGGATGTCAGCTGTAGTCATTTTTACCCTGTTCCACATGAAGAGTATTCCAGCAGAGCAGGGCTGGTGATTACACACACTGGACAGGTAATTGACCTTGATATTCACACAGGGAATATCTTCAGTATCTTTCCTTGGCCCTTCACCCCTCTGTCTTTGCTTTTCTCTGAAAGTGAATTACTGTTATTACTTTATCCCTGTTTATTACTTTATTACTCTCATTGCTTTATTACTGTCATTACTTTATTCCTGTTCCCACTTCTTTCCAGTTGTTTAAGCCTCTGCAGGCTGTCAGTGGTGCAGCTTTGTGCTCTGAAGATGGATCCACACGCATATACCTATCCAAGGCTGCAGAAGAAAAGCCCAGGTGCTTGTGCAAGGTTCAAGGTATTAGAGGAGAAGCTCCTGTTGGAAAGCTACTGCTTTACTGAGCTGCTGCCTGCCTTTATCCCCTGTGGCCAGTAGTGGTGTGCAAGTTTAATGAGGAGCTTGCAGAAGAACTAGCCCTGCTAATTGACACATCCATTTGACATTGCAGGGGTGCTAAAATTTAGTGTATTGGCCACATGCATATCTGTGGCTTAGGAGCAGTAAATGCCCACTGCAGGTTTTTTTTTTTCTATTTTTTCTTATTGGCAAATATTCTTACGTTGATTTGTTACTCTCAAAAGAGTGTTTTCTACCAGCATTTCAGTCATTCAGCCACTCTTAAGGAAGCAGTGTTTTAGCTTTTTTCACAGCCTTGCTGGTTTAGCTTTTTCTTCCTTGCTGGAGGAAATCTTTCAATGAAATGGACTCTGACAGGTTTGTAACAGGATGAAGGAGCCACTTCAATTTTCTGATGACTTTGCATAGAGTCTGTCTGGGGGGAGAAGTATAGTGATCAGCAGTTGCCTTCAAAAGAGGGATGTTAAAAGTCTATAGTATTTGCCATGTGAAAAGTCTCTTGTTTTTAAAGTGATTGTGGGTTTGCATTAATTGCTTATAGATTTTTTTTTTTAGTTATTTTATGATGACCTGTAGATATCTTTGCAAAAACATTTGCTTCCTTTTGTGTCTTTCCCTATCCTACCCTTTCTGTGCCACCCAAAACCTAGAAACAAAACAACAACAAAAAAAAACCATAGAAAATATCTCGGTAAACTGTTCTGAGGGAGGTGTGCTGTAGAAGGTAGTATCAGTGACCTGCTGGCACAGTTTTGTGCATAGTGCTCAATAGCATTCCTCAGTGGGTTAGTCTCCTTTACAGAATGTACCCACTCAGCCCATAGGAAGAAATATTAAGTCTTGCTTCAAAACCACATTCGAGTTTCTGGCAAAAAGCAGAAGTGTGTAAATGCAGGAAGATGCATTTAACATTCAGAGTCCTGTGGGAATCTAACTGGGGACAAGGAATAAGCTCTGAAATCAGTAAGTTTCTGGGTTTGGATGGAAATTAAGGGTAGGAAATTTAAATAATGGTTAGAGGGTTTTTTCCACACATACACAACTGTCATAAGAATTATTTGTTTTGCAAACCATTGCATTTAGAGAGAGGTATAATATTCCCCGTCAGCAGAAGAGGGAAACTGAAGCTCCTTTGTACAAGTTTGGTATGTCTGCAGTTGCTCATATCCTAGTGTGTGCTTTCATGTGTGTAAATGCTGTGCGTTTTGTCTTGTCCTTTGCCTTATGGACAGAAGATGTGCTTTCTTGGGACAGAAGGCTTGATTCTACAGGGCCCTGATGTGTCCAGATGTAGCTAGTCAGGAGTGCTCATTTCCTGGCAGATTCAGTAGTGGATTATGAGTGAATCTGGCTAAATAGTTTTCTGTCCTGGGCTAGATTCAGTTACTGGAGAAAATCTTGGGTTTGGGTCTTCTTTCTCCAACTGCTAACATGAACTTTCCTAACTAAACAAAACCAAGGATGTTTCAGATGTTAAGGTTGGTGAATGAATTGTTGTTGCAAGGAACTGCAAATGAAGAGTTTTCCAGAGAGTGCCATACATATACTCGCAGATGTATTGCTTTTACCATAATCAGTGAGCTTGGCATAAGATTTGGTGATAGCAGGCAGTCCCAGGCTTAATATCTAATTAGAGTATAAAGCCACTAAAATTTTCTTTGTCAGCTGAGTACTCAAGTTTGCTTTTCATTAAAATATTTTGTTGTTCTTCCTCTCTAAAATGTCAGTATTAGCCACAATATCCTTAAACATTTTTTTATATGAATTAATAGAGCTAAAGGATGTGGTATTCTTATCTCCTTTTGAAGTGAATATTTGCGGAGTATGCAGAGTATTTGCGTAACTTGCAGGCACTACGGTGATAGTGGATACATTGTCTAGAAGTTTGTGATTTTATTTTTTAGAGAAAGCTGCTTGGTTCTTACAAGGTATGACTAAAATTTTTTCCTCTTTTGAACCTTTGGAGGATGAACATACTGGTTATTGAAGGCCTGTACAGGAGCTCTTCATGTGCTTGCAGTGTTGATTTGTAAGGGTGTGCAATATGTTGTTAAGCTATATTGACTATGATGATGCAGTGTAATGTGGTGGAGGTTAGAAAAATGGGGTGTCTTCATTCAATATCATCTTTATTGAACTGACCTTTGCAGGAGGAGGGCATTGAATACAGGGAGATAGATCTGATCAGCAAGTAGGAGTTAAGGATGACACTCTTCAGTGGCTGCCAAGGTATCTGTGAATTACTCAGTTCCAGACTGGGTGCATGAAAAAGGTGCTGTGTAGGTGACTGTTAAATCCCACTACTTGTGGATTTATATTCTCTATTCTAAATAATATAGTTTATTTACCCCCATCTTGTATCCTCAGTACATGTTTTATGTGTTTTATACCTGTCCTAAATAGATTCCAGAATTAAATGACTAAATTAGGAGCCTTTTGGCATGTACCCTACTAATTGAATTATAGATTTATTCTGTTTTACATCGTGATTTGATTTTCAAATAAAATTAAAATCCATGATGGCTGTAACTTTAAGTCTTGTGTACTGAGAACAAGGGGGAGCTCAGTCCATTGACATGGAAGAAAGTTTGGAGTTAAGGATAAATGGAGCTATATTCTGCTTTAATCAAAAGATAAATGCATCACTTTTAATAGATAACACCAGTGTGGCTTTATCCTGAAGTTCAGGAAGGGTTTGTTGATGCTATATAGAAGATAGTTCTGCTCTTTTTAAACACAGCAGTCAGTTTTTCTTAACCATCTTCATCAAGACTGGTACAGCTTCTTCATTTATACATGTATTTTCTATTTTTAAGTAGTTCAGTGGTTAGAACTTGTACATTTATGCATGATCTCAAATATCTAAATCACTTTCATGAGAACAGGGCTTTCAAGAACCTGGTTTGCTTCTGTATTGTCAATTTGCTCTTTTTTTATGTTTATTTTTTTCTTTTTGCTTTTGGCTATTGTCATGATTTGTATATGTTGCTTAAACGGGTAGAACTGAAAAAAGAGGAGTTGTTTTTTTTTCCCTCACCTATATGACAGGAAAAAAGATTGTCCTCTTTTCATCTGCTTTAGCATAATGTGTCATGATAGCCTTGTGCTCTTGGGCAACAAGGAAATGAATTTATTTTCCCATTGTAATATTCATATAATATTCATGTTAAGCTTGTATGAAATCACATGACAATCTTTTAGAAAGTATGCCAGATGACTCTTTCATATTTTGATTAAGAAGAGTATTTTACATTCCATGTCTTCAGTCATGTGAAATGTTAATGTTTCAAGATGTCCTTCAAATTGTTAAGTCCTTTTTTCAAAGTTAAACTGAATAGCAAAAATAACATAAGGCCGTTCTGTTTTCTGCAGTACTTTGGAAGCTTGCTTGTAATATTCTGTGTTGAACTGGCCTGTGGTGTTTGGACCTACGAGCAGGAAATAACGGTGAGTCAGAAAAGGAGGCTGCATTTTTTCAACAGAAGAAAACAGATTTCCATTAGCTAGCTGTTTTCTGATTGCTGTGGTGTTTATCTTTGTTCATTATTCTGACAGTCTAAAGTGACTGGCTCTTTTTTAAACAGAGAATTCTAAGAAATCTTGTCTGTCTGGAAGGTCCCTTCTGAATTTCTCTCTATCCTCTCTATAGTGGAGAGCCAAATCCTGCAGTCCCTGATCTAAGGACTTTATTTTTTGTTAATTCTCACTTAGGCAGGTTCTCATTGAAGTCAGTGGAAGTTTTGAGGATAAAGAATGACCTTAAGCCTTAAGATAAGTATTCTGAGAGAGGAGATGTGAGAATTTGAAGGGATTTTGCCCCGAAGTTCTTCATGTTTTAAAGAACTGAGTGTACTGCTTTGTAAACAGACAGTATGTTCTTTCAACAGAGGATTTGCTGTCTGCTGAAATCTTCACACTGCCCCCACAAGCTAGAAATGCCAGTTTTAAGCAAAACATGTCTTAGCTATAAAACACTCTTCTGTAAGCTTGTGAAGAGGTTTTATCTCTGTCTAGTTTTTATAGCTGTACCAACCTTTAATGTTCAAACTGAAAACTTGTAACTGGCATGCAAGAAAATGGGTAAGTGTAGAAAATGTTATTCTGCTGGCTGCTATGTCCTTACATCTTGTTCTCAATTTGGTACATTTTTATGAATAATGATATGCCCAATATCCTGGTCTTTTCAACAGTGAGTAGCACTTACATTGCAGTAAGATGGGAGAGAGTCTTTTGGGACCAAAGGAATTTCTGGCAGATTTGAAGTCTGAAGTTATGTGTCAGCACTTTGCATCAGCCTTCATTCCCTTGCTTGCAGTACAGATTCCAGAGGGGTGTTCTAATGTAACAGCAGTAAAGGCTATCCCCTTACTTTGAATGTCAGCTTACATTGATGCATTTTAAAACTGGAAATGCAGGCAGAGACATGCTTCATCCTATGGGCACAGCTGCCCTCTATGGGGGTTTTGCCAAGGAGGACAGTTACAGCTATCTTTTGGGGATGTATTTTCTCTTTCCATCCAATTTTCTCCTCTTATTCTCTTTGTCCTAACACTACTGCCTTTCAGGTGATGAGGTGGGCCAGACTCGGGTTTCTTGCTTCTTTCTTGCTGCTGAGACCCCTTAGGGAATGTGGCAGTCTGGAAGAGCACAGTTGGCTTTCAGTGGTTCTTCCATACCTGTGTAGGTCACTTTCCTAGAGCATGCTTTCTCCTACTCTATTTGATAAGACTCCCTCTTACACCCATGCAGGTGACTTGTCATATTAGTTTCAGTGTAACATAAAATCACATGAGCCACTGGTGGGTTTGAAAGAGTCAGTTGGCGTTAGTGTAGGTGGGTGAGTGATGTTGGCAAAAATGCCACTGGGGGATAACTGCCTCTGCTGATGAAATATGGGCTGTCCTTGGCATGTGGACAAGTTGCTCTGAGTCCTTGTATGAATGATTTTCCTTCCAGCTCATGATAGCTCTCAGCATGAAGTGTGCTTCATGACTAATTTGTCCACCCACAAGATTGAAAAGCCAGTGTGGGTTCTTAGCTTACTTGGGCATTGGTCAAGCCTTGATACTCATTAGAAAAATAATAATGAATAAGTAGATCTCAGTGGCAAGCAGAGTTTTACAGAACTTATGCTAAACTGAAACCACGCTACAGAAAACTGTTGGTGTGTAGCCAAACAAATGCATCTCAAGATCGTGTATTACTGTGCACTACTGCATGCGTGAACTGATGGGAAGCTATTTAGTAGATGCGTTGATGGTCCTTAGTGTGACATGTTGGCATTCTTGGAGCAGTCAAGCAGGTTCTGGTACCTCTCCTTAGCTCCAGAATTCAAATTGCCTTCCTGCAGTAGGGTTTAGTTTGTTTTGATTTGCTTTTAATTTCCTTATGTCACTTCTTGATTATTTCTTTTTTTTCTTGCTTTCAATTGTTTTCATAAAGAAGTTGGATGCCTTGTGTTACATGTGTAACCTTGGACTATATTCAACTCAAATAAGATAATAAAAACATAGTCTGGCAAGTATGAACTTAATTTCAGTGATATCAAATAATATCCAAAGAAAGCAGAGTGCTAAATTCCAGTGCGGTGGAAAGAGAAATGCATGGAATACAAAACCAAATTACTTTATTAGAGTGAACAGTGTAAATGTTTGTGGTAGAAATGTTCTGTGGTACTGTTTTTAATAACCTTAGTATTCTACTGCTAAAATATTTTTCATGTGGACACTTGTGAATTCAATGCTTTATAGCTTAATAAATAAAAACTGCTACGTTAAAGGTGTGTTAAGATATTATTAACATATTCATATTCATGATATCAAGCTTTACCAAAGTTTCGATAATGTAGTATAACTTAGTGGTATTGAAACGTTTTGAAATGTTCTTATTTGGATTATGGGGTCAGTCAGGTGGTGATTGTCCCTGTTTTTTGTAGAGCATCTGGCAAAATGAATTCCAGGCTCCTTAGGAAGTATTGTGATAATTTTTTTTCTTAGATACCATTTATTGCTATTTGCAGAATGCCCTTACCTTTGACTCCAAATTGAACAGGAGACCTAAGTCATAGCTGCTAGAAGAGCTGGGGTCCTCCGTCCTCCCAATAAAAGCTGTAATTGTGATTTCTTTCATGGTATCTGTTAAGGCTAGTGGGAACAAGGCAAAACTCAGCATGAATGCTGTGCTGCAAAGTCTTCAGCTCCTTGTTTTCATTTGGCACACTGAAATTTGTGCTGCCGAAGTTAGTTATCTTGACTTGTAACTGCATTGTATGCCAAGTACCATAGGACTTGTTTCTATTGTTTCTAAATAAATTGCTGACTGAGGGTCATAGTCTGACAGTGGAGAGCACCTCAATTCTGAGTAGCCAAATTTGAAAGAAAAATACTTAAAAGTATTCTTCTTTCAGAAAGAAAGATTTACAAGGCTGCATGTGAAGAAAAAAGTTCATGGGGCCTCTATGTCTATCTACACTTCCCTGTTACTATTGGACAAGATACTGAAATCAAGTACATTCAGGATACCTGCATGCAAAGCCACTGAAAAGACTTGGGGTAAAATTCATCTCGGATAGTTCTGTGTGTTTAGAAGTTACACATTTAAGTATGTCACTTGACAAAGTAAAGTGGATTTGAGACTTCAATGGAATGATTCATCTGCTCTGTTTAAAATATTTATTTTGAGGTGAACTTCCCCATATGTCTGCCTGTTTCTTTCTGTTGACTAAGATGACACCAGCGAGATATCTAAACTGGGGCAGACAAATGGTGCTCTGTTCAAGTTTTATGTCAGGCAAAAAATCTGGTGATATCATAATCAGATTGTACCCAGCTGTCTCTGAATCTCTCCAAAATGCAGCTCCTTTTCCAGTGTACATTAATTTGGACACAAACAAATAACTTTTTTCTGATATTTTAATAAAATGTCATAAAGTTTCAATATCATAAAAATTGAAGCACTTATTTTACTGTTTAATTAAAAGTTGTTTTGGTCATTTCATTGGAAAGATCTCAGAATCGATGGAAGTTCTGGGTTTGGAGCCACAAACTGTGTGAATTGCTTTTCTTTCCTTGCTTTAGGTTCCGGTGCAGTGGTCTGATATGATCACACTGAAAGCCAGGATGACCAATTATGGCCTACCTAGGTACCAGTGGCTGACCCATGCTTGGAATTTCTTCCAGAGGGAGGTAAGATGACAGTTAATTCATGATCTGAAGTAATACATGCATGGTCGATGTTATTTATGATATTATAAGATATGTTATTTTTTAAAAAAAAGGGTTTGGTTTTAAGTGAATAGGTAAATAAATGCAAGTTCATTTTATGTGAAATCCTGTATAGTGATGATATCTGTTAGCATCACTTGATACCCAACTCTTGAGCTTATGTATGTCCTAAAAACCCTAAAACACCAAAAAAAGAATGTGAGTAAATTCAGTTAAATTGCTGACACTGTATTCTCCTTTGCTAGTAAGGTTAGGACACCAACACCTTTTAGGATTGTTGTAACATTTAAGAATATGATGTATGTAAAACTTAGAATCTGCAAATAAAGTGAAACAAACATTTCTATAGGCTGTTTTAATATTAAACTGTGCTCCCTTTCCTGTAGACTCCGTTAGTTACCCTCTCACAGAGCAGTCCTGGTTAAGATAATGTGTTCATCTGGAAATGAGGGAGACAGGAAGTTTCCACAAAGATGCAAACACTGTCTCTTTGGCTGAGGTTTGAGAAAGTGATCAGGGTTTTTATTTCCTTTGACTGAAGGGGTGGGAAACAAACCAAAAAGCTTCCTTGTCTATTCACAGCTTTGCCCTCTAGCCTACTAAAATTCAGAACTGTTTTTAAAGAATGAACTGTTATGTTACAAAAACATGAAATTGCTCAAGGTAAAACCCATTAACTCCAAATATAACTCACATGCAGGAAGAGAACTCTTTGAGTGCCTGTCATTGTGTTGCCCTTCTTGAAATCTATCATTGTTGCACAGATTTCCTGTTTATTTAAACATTTCCTGGCAGCACTCGGTTAGTCTGTATTTATACTTAACCTGAAAGAAAAAGTGAGGACTACATGAGGTTAAACACACCCCCACCCTCCCCAGTTCCCTGCTTTGGCTATGCAAGTGCTCTGTGAAACTGAGTAATTCTTCATACACAGGTAGAGTGTGTCTGTTCTGTAACTGAGGTGATATAATTAAATGGCCTCATTTTCCTTGAATAGACCTCGTACTGTATTTTTTTTTTTTAACGTACAGATTGATTAAATTTAGAAGTTGCCTTTTATCCTCCTGGTTGTTGTGGTGTCATCATAATGGCTGGTTTTAATATGAATAAATATAAATGTGAAAAAAAGGAATCTAATAAAACTTCAACTGTGCGTTAACTCTTCCAGGGGAGAAAAGGTTTCTTTTAGAACTTAGATTTCCTATATTCCATCTCTGGTCAGATGAATGATCTGGGGAAAGTTTGAAGTGAGCTAAGAAGTCTCTTTTACAGCTCCTACCTAATTGGTGGACTCTCAATTTTACTCTGTCTACTCATAACTCAGATGGTGGATGTGTGAGCCTGTTATGTGCTTTACATCTGAATGAGCGCTATGCCTGGGGCCCTTCTCAGCGCTATTGTTTTCTTTTTTTCCAAAAGAAAAAAATTATAATGTGCAATTTTGTTTGCAAAGATTCAGCCTTGGTCAGCCTTGTGCTCACTCTTCTGTATCTTTTCACATCTGAGAGAGATGGTAAATGTCTTTTCTCCATAACCCCCTTGCTGGTCTATTATCATTTGTGACTATGCTAAGGAAGATGGGAAGGGTCAGTTGAAGTCAGGAAGGAAGAACTGGGCAGGGGGAAGAAAAGATTTGAGATTAATAAAAGGATGTTTAATGAGTAGTCTTTGCAATTACAATGAGGAGCCACAACTTGAGCACTGGGAGGATTTTGACCCACAGACTGATTAACAAAAAACAGCTCTAGTGAAAGAGGAAGAAGTGGGATTTGTAAGAGGACTGGTGAAGTCAAGGCACAGTGTGTACTAACCTAGTGTCAGGGCACTGATTTGCTTGGTTGTGACTGCAGTGAGGTGTGGTATACAGGACTCTGACTCTGAAGCAGGTAAGGGGGGCAAACGTTCCCAAGCCCATGGGTTAGAGGGACCAGGTGATGACTAACAAACTCAGGCTGGTACTAGAGAACATCCAGATGGGAAAAAAAAACCCCACACCGAAAAACCAAAAAACCAACTTCCTGTTCCTGCAGCAAGGCTTGTTTGTTTGTTTGTTTGTTTGTTTGTTTATTTGTTTGTTTTTTCATTATATCAATTCGTCATCCAATTCCAAAGAAAATTTGATATAGCTGCTTTAACCCTTTTTTATGTGACAGCAGCTAGGAATGTCATAGACTGGTCATTTGGCTTTAATTCTCTTGGTGTGTTTTGCAGAGAAGACAGGTTGATAGACCAGGTGTTTTTTGTAGCCAATTATGACTCATCTGCTTTGCAGACAGACTTCTTGCTTTTATGGTTTCTTCTGTTGCAGTTTTTATTTTAGTGTAATACCCCTTCCTTCCTTCCTTTTCCCTTTTTCATTTCAGCATTTGTCATTTCCATACCTTTTCACTCATTTTTAAAATCTTTTTCTTTGTCTGTATTCAGATAGGTCTGTTTTTTTTCGTATTTGATTTTCAACAGACATGTCCATAGTTTTAGCCTTGCAGGAATAATCCTCACTAGTAAGACCTTAATCACCTTTTCCTACTAGTTCCTTCTGCCAGAGGTGTACTTATTCATTAGTCACCCTTTATAATGTGTTAGTTCCTTGTAGTAAGGATAGCAGAATTACATGGTAGGTCAATTTCTGTGAAGCATCCTTTGAGGGAGCAGTTGGGATTTAAACGGCAGAGCAGTATCATTGGCTGTTTCTGAGGTGCTCATTGTTCACTACATTTTTCATGTCACCTTTATGTCAAAGTGCAGCAAAACAGGATACGTAGAAGCTCTTGTAAATGTTTTTAGTCCTACGTAAATGTTGTGGGAGTCGTTAACAGGAATTTATGTAGCTTTTTTGATGACTTACTTTTATGAAGAAGTAACATCATCATTGCTGATCTTGGCTAATCCTTCCTTTGCAGTTTAAATGTTGTGGGGTGGTGTACTTCACAGACTGGCTGGAAATGACGGAAATGGACTGGCCGCCTGACTCCTGTTGTGTCAGGGAGTTCCCAGGATGCTCTAAGCAGGCACATCATGAGGATCTCAGTGCCCTTTATCAGGAGGTAAGAAGAAAAGTGTGGATATTTCGGAAGACTTTGTACATTCTTCCTGATCCATTTTCCAAACTCATAATTTGCAATGAACCAGAAGAGCTTGTTGTGTAATTGTGTTTATGGAAAGTATTTGTTGTGTTTGTTTATGTTTATTATTGATTAGTGCTGAAGCAGAGGGAGAAAGAAAGAAAGGAAAAAGGAGAGAAACAACCCACCCACCCTTACCTGGAAGTGAGATGACTTGTTAGCAGTGCAGTTAACATCTGAGATGTGCTTGAATATTGGTTTTATAGTGGTTAAGTAGGAGTTGAAATTTGCTTCAGTCAGAAATAAAAAAAAAACCCAAACAAATAGTTTTAGTGTAATGTCCAGTCTCCAGATCGCCAAATGAAGAGAAATTCTACTTTCCATGATGTAATGAGGACTGAAGTGGTATGTTGTACAGTGAAGGATGCTTCTGAGAAGTCCTTTGGAAGATGAGAGCTCTCTTAACAGGACTTATGCAAGGAGGCAGGTAATTCAGTTGCTCCACTGTGAGAATGCAGAGAAACTTTGTGTGAAAATGCTCTTTCGCTCTAACTCTACTACATTACACTAGGATTATTACTGAAAAAAAAATAATCTAAACCAAAAACCTTAAAATCAGGAGAGGACCTTTTTAAAGTGGGTGAGGGAGGCGATCATGGTAGCAAACCATTACTGTTCTTAGGGTGAAAATTACACAAACAAGTAAATATGTTCTTTACTACACAATTTTAACTGTTCTCACAAAAATGTTGTCTAAAGTCACCTTTGCCTGGAGACTGCTTTGATACCCTATTTTGGGGGTTTTGTTGTTTTGGTTTTTTTTATGCTAGCAGACCTCTGAAAATCTTTAATTGTGCATTCAGTAATAGCAGAATGACCAACAGGCCAGGTGGTCCAGTAGTGGCAAACTGCATGTCTACATCAAGTAGTTAGGAGATTCTGAGAAGAGATGTATTTTTTCATTTGCTTTCTTTAAAGTAATATAGGGTGCATAGAAAGGAGGATGAGCCTGAGAAGTGTCCTTCCACATGCTGTAGCATGAATATTTTTCCAGCAGACAATGAAATTCTGCATTATGGAAGATCACTCAAAGAACCATTTTATTTTGTCCCAGTCTCTTACCACTTTAAAAAATTTCTTACAAGAATCTAATTATGTAGCTCTTGTTGAGATGCTATGGAGAGATACCTCTGAAGCAGGGGAGACCCACTGTAAAAACAAGCCAAAATGAATATTAGCTGTTGCCCGGAAACAGTTTGGTTTTGTTGAAATGCATTTGTATGGCATTGACTCTATGAGCAGAAATGATGTAATTTATTATGGACGTTGAGACAACCATCCTAGGCCTGGTGTGATTCCACTAGGAAGTGAGAAGGAAGAGCTGCCAAAAGGCCTGTGCCTCAGAAGGCCAGTCTGTGCTAGGGAACCTTAAAGATAGTGTCAGAGGCTGTTTTCTTTCCATCAGCTAATAATAGAGACTCTCCTGCCTTATGGCAAAGCTCCCAGCACTGGTTACACTTTAGAAGTGTTAGTATCTGAATCGCAAAGCACTTTAGCAGGCCCCAGAAGAAGCCTAGTCTCTTACTCATGCTTGAAGAATGAACTGGGACTCACTTTGCAATAATAGTTTTTTTTTGTAATACTGTTGCCAGTATTGACACCACACAGACCAACTCTGCTGTAGAGAGTGCTCAAAGTGTGTAAGAGTGTGGAAGCTGCAGAATGTTCATTTGCCTTGAGCATCCTTCCTGCTTATGTGAAAAGGCAAGAGTACGTAAGCAGTGTCACTCAATGAGAAACAAATTGTTGAGCTTGGGAAGCTCAGAAAATTCTGAGGAGTACTAGTCATTGGAGTGTCTTGTTGAAACTGCAGGATTTTCTTATGTCATCTCTTCTGCTAATATTTCATTCCCCTAGCCATGTTCTGGGAAAGTGGTTCTCTGTGCACTTTGTATGTTCAAGTTCTTTTGGTTCTACTTGTAGAAAATTAACAGCCAAAGATGATGATGTTGTAGAACATCAGGGCTTTGTTAAGACCCACTTAATAAAGCCTGCCTGGCTTTTTTATGGAAGAAACCTGAAGGGTGTATTTATGGTTCTTCCCCTATTATACCCCAGAGTGTTTTGGATAGATTCAGCTTTCAGAAAAAAATATTTTTCTTTCTCTACTCCATAATCCCTTAAAAAACTGGACAGGCTATATTCTATTTTACCAGCCACAAAAATACTCTGTTGCTTTATGAGATTTACAGTATTTGGTTGGCAAAACATTTGTTTTTTTCCATGGTCCGTGCCTGTGGGTTGTTTCACAGGCTCATAGGGTGTGCTTGCTAATGTGTTTATCAGTATCATGCAAAACCAGCTTGCACTTGCAAAGCTAATCGGTCTGACTTCTGCTTTGGAGATTAGAAGGAGAAAAGCCATTTTCGAAAGTGATTCCAAACAAACTTGCATAATTTGGTAGTTTGAGAGGGAGCCTGATGGTATTAGACTCGCCAGCCTAAAATTGGCTTATGTAAATGCTTTGCAAGTTCATTATGGTACTTCAGAAAAATTCTTTGTAGTAGTTCAGAAAACTGAAGTTTGTTTTGGCTGGGATTGATCACGTAGTTTTTTTTGTAGTTGTGCTGCAGTTTTCTACTGGGATTTTGGAGCTTTCTTTAATCTAGGTTAGAATCCTTCACAATACAATTTTTGTAGGAAGAAAGGTGGCTTAGAGTTTAGTTTGAGAGTATTATTTTCAAAGCTATTTTTCAAATGTGTTAGTCATCTTGGACTGCTTTTATTCTGACAAGCTTCACCTTTGGTGCAGTCTGTGGAACAGTCTAACCTTAGAGCGTGGTTGTGAGGGAAATGCATCATGACACATGCAGGAAACTCAGAGATTTACTGTGGTCTGAGGACGAGGGGAGCTCTGCCCATCTTGTGACCAGGAACTATAACCTAGACAAAAGGATTGGTAGGAGTTGGTATCTTCAGAAGAATCAAAATTGCATAGTCAATATTTTTTTTGTATTCTGGCATACTTTGAGTATACTCAAAATTTGAGCATACAAGAGATCTGTTGAATATGCTGATGATTCTCTTTCCTACTCTGAGAATGCCTTCTTTAAGATCTGCTCCTTATTCTCAGATGTTGCAGTAAATCAGAAATATCTGGTTTGTTTCCATTTTAAGACTGAGAAGATAAAATAGCCTTTGTAATAAATATGAATCAGGCCTTTAATCCATAGCTCTGTGGGAATTTGAAGCTAATTCTTCTGAATGATTGCTGCACAGTTTTATACTACTTTTGAGCTGTCAACAAGAGCTTCCTTTTTGGTGACAAACTTTTACTTTTGCAGGGGAAGTGTATTTATGTACCCTTTGATTGCAGGCTACCAACTATGAATGTGTTGCATAAGCAGAAATAAAATGCATGAATGTGAGGATAACAAGGGTGGCTGGATATTTCTCAACTTTAAAACTGATTTTGAATGTGTATTACAGCAGAACTGCAAGAATATCATTAAATGGAGGGAGGCAGTCTATCTAGTTCAGGCATAATTCGTCTCAATTATGTGTCTGTACTGCAGGAGATGCAGGCATTAATGTTACTGCTCTCTGCTAATGGATGTTTCCTCTAGGCAGTGAATGAACTGAATTTGAATACTGCTGTGGTTGAGTATTTTTAACTTGTGACTAGCATGTACCTTCATTCCTTAAAGTTATTAAAAGTATTAAAATGCAGTCAGCTTGTCTGTAATTAAAAACAAATTTGGAAAGTAGTATAATTACAGCACTGCCTTCTAGTTCAAGAAGACACCAATGTGACATGTTTTGTTGCTTATCAAGTTCAATTACAATGCTTTTTCTACAGTTTTTCTTTTTCTTTTCAAGTGTCAAAGAATCCACATTCACTCACTGTTCTGTGACTAAACTGTATTAATGTTTAGAAGCCAACGCAGCGAAATGAAGAATGGAGCAAAGAGATTGAGATCCTTTAACTTTGGTACCATTATCATAAAGCGCATTAATTTAATTTAGATACTCAATGAAAATCTGTTGAGTGCAGCATGAATTTTGTGTGTGAGGCAAGAATTGGACCTTTCATCAAATACGCTGGGGACTATAGCATCTGAAATTGTTGGCTTTAGGGACTTTCAGTGTGATTGAAAAGTGTTATTTAGCATGTTCTGTCTTCAGATTCTGTCACTTTGATCAATTGCTTTCTTCTCACAGAAAAGCTATAAGAAACATGTAGTAAGGACATAAACACAAAAATGACATTTTGAAGACAGTGCCTATCTTGATGGGTTCCTTGTCTTCTGGGACCAGTGCCTATTGATTGTTTGGGGTGTTGTCCCATCCAGTCTGTTACTCTGAATTTTCCGTTGGTGCTTGTGTTCCTTTGAGTTTTGCAGCTTTGCAGGTTGTGAAGTCTTGCAGAGTTTAAAATAGAGAACAAACATTGGCCAGTCACTAAGGGTCCCTCTTGTCAAGGTTTTATCCTGTCTGAGACTGGGCATCACCTTTCCTGAGCAACAAGCATTGTAGCTTGTGTTTGTACTGTTGTACAGTAGTTCCTAGAGCCAGTGTCTATTTGTGGATCCTTGCTGCCTTAAGAGGGCTTGGGAGCTTTTCTAAAGCCTTTCATAGTAGTTATTGGTTGGCCATGTACTCAAAATTTGGAGCATGTGCTGATGGTTTGGAAAGAAACAAATTTCCATTTCTGGGAAACATCAACTTGGGATGTTTTAACATAGTTTTTCACCAGATCCTTTCTGTGTCAAAAATAATTATTATTATTCTGTAAATAATTGCAGAGGTGGTATGTGTGACCATATTCCTAATACAGTGTGTGGATTGTCACCTCTTTGGAGCAGGGTCAAGCTGCCTGCTCGGGTTGCTTTAAGTAGCAACAGCACAAGATATGAAGCAAAACTGGCCATTGGTATGCCATCATCACAGTAATTGGCAGGAAAGTTTCTATATTCAAATCTGAAATTAAGCCAGTTAATTTTAAAATACAGTCGTAGGCAGAATGTAACTAGTGTAAGTGGATATGCTTTTTGCAATGAGGAGATGCAAGTAGCTCAGAAATGAAAAGTAGGTGTAATGCCACATGTACATGGTATTATTATCACTAAGTACTAAATAAAGTCTGTTTGTGTACCCCCTGTGTTCTGGAAATTTGTCAGAAGTCCTCCATTAAAGGTTGTTTTATTCAGTGTTCCTTACTGGTGATTGGAATGTAATGGTTTTTCTACTCCTTAGAGACTTTCTGTGGAGCTAAATAAGGTGGCATATAATGAGCCCAGATAAAAGAGAAAAGGTGGGAAGAAACTGATGAGGTTATGCAGGTCTGTAGATATTTCCTATAATATTGTTTAAACTTCAGATTGTGGTGGTAACTGTATAAAAAGTCTGAGTTTAAAATAATTTACAACTTTGACTTTGAAGACCTGCAAATTAAGGAGAGAAACAAGATGGTCAAGAGGATTTTTAAACCTTCAGAAAACCAGTTGAGTTTCTTTAGAAAACAGTTATATTTGGTAGGAACTTGGAGTGATTTCTAAATTAGAGTAGCACAGATCTTTTAGAGCTCACATGCAGTAACCTCTCAGTGTATGAGGAACCTTGGATAAGTCATTATGGAAGTGATTAAAAAGAAGGCAAAATAATTTTCAAAGTATTGTTTGAAGGAGGCAAGAGAGAAATTTTGGGGAGCCAGGAAAGCCACTAGGTAGGATGAGCTAAACCTTGGGAACTGCAAACCAAATAATATTGACTAACTTTTAAATTATTTTTTTTTGTTTCATAGGGATGTGGTAAAAAAATGTACACTTTTTTGAGGGGAACAAAGCAATTGCAAGTGCTGAGGTTTCTAGGAATCTCAATTGGAGTAACACAGATCTTGGCTATGATCCTCACGATTACTTTGCTGTGGGCTCTGTACTATGACAGAAGGGATCCTGGAACACATCAGATCGTGGCCCTGAAGAGTGATACCTCGCAGCAGCTGTCATGTAATTCTGTGGAGCTACTGACACCAAGCCTGACAAGGATCTTTGAACATACATCCATGGCAAACAGCTTTAATACACAGTTTGAAATGGAAGAGCTATAGGTGATGCAATGAATCTGTGAAGTCACAAAGGGTTTTAATTGGGTTTTCTTGTTGTTATTCTGTTTGATCAAGTATGCCAGATATACCAGTCTTCATGTGAATCAGAAAGAGCTGATGAATGGAAGTGAAGGAGGCCAGCAAAGAAAGGATAACCCAGTCAGCCTCTTAGCCATAGTCTCAGCCATGAAACAGAGTTGAATGTGTTTGTTTTTTAAAAGGCACTCATTCACTGGGCACAGTAATGCTTAACCTATTTTCACAAGCTGTGTGATGTGTAAAACACAGGCAGACAACCTCTAAGGAAGCATCACAGGAAAGGAAGAGAAATACTCATCTTCGAAGAAATGACTGTTCTTTGGACAAACAAAATGTGACTTCAGTTGAAATTGACTTTTACATTTTTAATAAGCCATTTTGAAAATGTCTTAATCAGGGATCTATGTATATATAATTGTGTGGTTTTGTGCTGTGTGCATGGGAAGCAGAACTGCAATACTTGGATTTAAAAATTTGCAAGATTTGTAAAAAAGGGCAAGATTTTCTTTTTCTAACAAAACTTTTAGCTGTTGTTTAAGATGTTCTAAAATGTCTATTTTTATCTAACAACTGTTTAATTTTTAAATATATTAAATGGATTGAAACCAAAACTATGACCCTGGACAATAGACTTAAATTTTCTGAGTAATTCTGGAGAATTCTTCTTTGAAACAATTTGTTCTAAGGACTGTTTCTTAAGAAAGAAAGCCTTAAACATTCTTTCCAAAATGGGAATCAATATGGGAGTAGCACATTTTATAGATAATTTTTTTCTCCTGTCTGTGATTCCCCTAAAGGTAGAAACAAAAGACTACAAGGAAAATGCTTACAGTTCTGGATGCTATTGCAATAATTGTAAAAGTGCATATGAAGAAATTATACTTCGTCAGTTTCTTCATTAAAAACTATCTAGTGGCTTAAAATGCCAACTGGAAACAGAGTTAAAATGTATTTATTGAGATGACAAAAGTGCATTTTACTGTATTTTTATGAGCAATGTTTATTTCATAGGATTGTTTTTTACAATTGGCCACGCTCCTGAAATATATATTACTTCCACTGAGTACAGTAGTCTGTGGCAAATGGGTTTTTACATAATATTGCGTTTTAAAAATTCTTCCATTTGTTTTGAAATTTGTAAAAGGAAAAAAAAAAGTTGTGATGTGGTAGACAATAAAATTACGTTTGTCTTAAATTCCATAATGGCTGTTTTTATTTTGAAGTTCTGTAGCATGAATGCTCTGGGTGGCAGCTGGGAGGGTCCCTCTGCTAGTGTGAGTTAATTTGATGTGTCTTTACCCATTCCACGTATTCTGTTGTGGAGAAACTGCATTGTAAATTTCATTTTCTTTTTTATTGCTTCTGAGAAAGCTTCTTTAGGGGCTCATGAAATTGAGCTCTTCAGTTGTGTGGGTTGTTGTTTGTTTTTTAACAGTCTGCGTAGGGGTGTAAGTATTTCATGGGTAGTATTGCAAGCAAGATTACCTTTCTGCTTTTGCACCTCTCCTACAGATGCTAACACTTATTTTTGGAGGTAAGAAGGCGGCTGAAGGATAGTTCTTCCCAAAATTTTGCTTGGAGTATTTTTGTCAGAAATACTTCTCATGCACTGCTTGGGAAGCCTTGTGCCCAGTGGTACTGCACATGTACAGCAGAATTCCATCCTTCCACTGCTCAGCTGGGACTGTGTTGCTGTAGCTAATGGTGAGGTTTCTGTGTAGAAAAAGCAGATGTTTGAGCCTGGGTGCAGACTAGCTCTAGACCTTGGTCATGGTATGCAGTGGATTGAACCATTGCTGGAGTTCTTTTACCCTAATAAAAAGCAAAACCAAAACACAAATTGTGGAATCTTGGATTGTGGATTGCATGGATCACATGTACACAGATATATTCAGCTGTGGGTTATAGCTCAGTGTAGGAAATTTCACCAGAGTATAAAAAATTGTCCAGGAACTCCTGACACTAAGCTTTACTGAAGATGTGTCTGTGGAACCTCCTTTAGCCATGCTTCAGCAATCCCAAGTCCTCCCATAGGAGGAGGTTGCCTTCATATCTTAGGTTAGGGCTCATGAAGGAGCAAATACACAGCAAGCTGGGCTAGGGAGATGCGTTGGAGAAGTCCACAGCTAGAATTAAGATATTCTGACAGGCCAGGTCATTTGGGTTTAGGCTTCCCTGATGGCAAGGAAGCACTGCCATTAGATGTAGCCAGGTTAATTTAGGAGCAGAGGGTTTTTTTTTTTGTAGGGCTCCTTTCAAACAGGACCATCCTCCCAGACTGGTGTTTGTGGGCTGCTACTACGAGTGACCATCCATGGGCAGGGTAACCTCACTTGGGATTGGCTGCCTAAATCCGAAGCCCATCTGTATCCAGTATGGGGCTAGTTTCATTAGGGAAAAGACCCACATGTCAGGAATGATAAAAATTATTCCCTTCCCTAGCAAGGAGTTTGAAGTATTCTGGGAAAAAATCCTTCTGAGTTGCTGTAATAGGTCTTGGCTGTAAATTGGAACACTTTCAAACTTTTTCCTTTCCCTGTGCTCAGACTCTGAGAGGTATCTGTTTTTCTAGGGCTTGTTCAAAGAGCCTGAACATTGATTGACAATGCTGTTCTTTTCCTGTAGAGCTTGAGGATATATGTAGGAGAGAGGCTGCTTGGTGACAGAGGAACATGTAGAGATGGTTGCAGCAGTAAGAACTACTTCATCTTTTTATTTCCTTTTTCCTCTGTTTTTCAGGAGTACCTGAAGGAGAAGGAATGGTGAGTTCTCTCTTCACTGCAGCAAAAACTGTAATGAACCAAATCTTTCTTGTTGCAACACAGACAACTATGGAGCTGCTCGTTAATGTTTTTCACAGGTCACTTAAGGAGAGCAACTGTGTTAGAAAAGGGGTCACCCCGTGCTTGCATTAAGTGTTTCTGTTCAGTCCTGTGCATCATGCTGAGTCCATGGGACTGTGTTTAGCTATGGGGCTCAGTATGCAGCCATGGGAGCATGGGGATGCTTTTAGGAGGCAAAATTCACTATTCCTGGTCTTTGGACAAAGTACTGATTTGTATGACAAGGCTTTCTGAAGGAAACATAACTGCATTTTCTCATTTTTATAACAGTTAATTTTGGAAAAACAACCCATAAATACAAGCGAATATATAAATGATAGTGAAAGGAGAGGCTGTTTGTCACAATGACTATACAGTTAAATATGATGGAGGAGGGGATTTTCAAATAGTTTCTGAAGTTTTTACTGCAAAAGCATTTTATAGAGTTTGTGTAGCAAGGATTTGGTAACAGGGGGGCTGCAGGGGTGGCTTCTGTAAGAAGCTGTAGAAGCTTTCCCTCTTGTCTGAGGGAGCCAATACCAGCTGGCTCCAAGACTGACCTGCCACTGCCCAAGGCCAAGCCCATCAGTGACAGTGGTAGTGCCTCTGGGATAACATAGATATGGGGAAAAAGCATGCACAACAGCAACTGCATCCAGAGAGATGGGTGAAAATATGTGAGAGGAACACCCCTGCAGACAGGTCAGTGAAGGAGGGGAGGATGTGCTCCAGGCAGGAGCACATGCAGGCATGTGTTCCATGGCTCCATAGCATGGGCCATGCTCTCCATGCTGTGGCTCCATGGAGAGAAGAGCCCATGTTGGAGCAGTCTCCTGGCAGGACTTGTGACCTCATGGAGATCCACACTGGAGCAGTTTGTGAATGCAGCCCATGGGAAGGAGGCACATTGGAGAAGTCTATGGGGTATTGTTTCCTGTGGGAGGAATCACATGCTGAAACAGGGTGAAGAGTGTGACGAGTCCTCCCCTGAGGAGTGAGGAGCGGCAGAGTCAGTGTGTGATGAGCTGGCCACAACCCCCATTCCCTGTCTCCCTGTGCAGCTGGAGGGGAGGAATTTGGGAGTAATGTTGAACTCAGGAAGAAGGGAGGGATGGGGAGAAGGTGTTTTAAGATTTAGGGTTTATTTCTCATTATCCTAGTCTGGTTTGATTGGTAATCAAATTAAATTAAACTATCCAGGTGATTATGTGTGTCTGCCTTTGTCAATCAAAATACGTTGTCAATCCCTGACTGCTCTTTTAGCCTCATGTTGGCGTATCCCATTGGCTGATTGCTATTCCAGAGCTCCTGATAATCTTAAAATGTTTCCATGGTCAATGGGAAAATAAAGTCTTGCTGGGCCCCATGTGCAGGAAAGAGAGCATATGACCTTCTAAGCACCCTCTCTACCCAAAATTTAATGATCCTTGGATTTCACTAATTTATCCTTCTCCAGACCAGTTTCCTCTCCGAAAGCCACCCTTCTGTCTGGAGCAGCTGAGGTTGCATTGTGCTCTGCTCTGCAAAAACCTTCTCTAGGCAGTCAGCGTGTTTCATTGCGAGTATATCCCACACCTCAAAATGTAAAGTGTGCATTTTCAGTTTGTCTCCTGTGGCTGTTTTGTGGAAGCACAGTCATTCGCCTTAGAAATGCTCTGGGATGCTTCGCAGTCAGGTATTACTTCTACCTTCCCTCCTCCCCAGTGCAGTTAGCTCCTGGCAAAGGTGGCTGTCATGCCTGCCAGTGCCATGGCATGCATAGCTGCTAGATGAGCATTATCTGCTCTAGCAGTCACTCTTTGTAAGTGGTCCATCCTATGGTCTTGCCAGCTCTTATGGTGCAAAAGGATCCTAATCTCATCTGTGCACTAATATTTTATCAAGGGAAGTTGGTATCAGGTTTGAGGAGGCTCTGTAGCCTTTGTTAGAGAAGGAAAAAGGTTCCATGAATAAGTTATTGCAAAACCGAGTCGACCCATTCAAGCATGCAGATGTTTTATTTAAATACTCCTCAAATGCCTATTTATTCAGCATAACATGTATTATGCTGCCTTCTGAAATACGATATATGACTGTCAAACAAAATTGTCAAAACAACAACCTCGGTTTCTTTGTATGATACACAGAAATAATTACATTTCATGTACAGTACAGATGCATTTTACACAGTCATCAACAGTCATTCATTACTAAAACAGCATTTAAATCACCTAAAACACCAAAAGAATGTGTATTTCCCAAATTCAGAATTGGTTAATGATTTTGCATATGAAATGGAATTAGGCGACGGGACTGGAATTCTGCAAAATTATACTAAATTATTCCTTAAGCTGCATTTGAAAGATGAAAGTACAAGTTGCTTCAGGGGTGTCACTGTTATGCAAGTGTATTGCTGTAGTGCATTCCTTTTAGTCCATATGAAAAGGAGAATGAAGATATTTTAGAAGATGATGGAGTCAGTAAGTTTCCTGGGTTGTATGTAGTTTGTCTCGAAGTGGATTTCTGCCTTTTTGCATTATTTACCTGCTGTAACTAGTCAAGACATACCATGTGGCATAAAGAAGTTGTTGCAGATTGATAGTATCAAGGCAGCTTTTGTAACAGTAGCTGGTGGGGATGAAACATTTTTTGTATGAGTAACCGTGGGTAGAAGTAGGATGCGAGTAAAAACTCTGGGTCCATTCT